CTCTGTTTCATGTGTTTGTTTCTTTGAGAAATCCCCAGGTAGCCTGTCAACCATAAACTCCTAATCTTGCTGTCTCCACCTCCAAGTGCTGGGATTACAGCCATGCACCAGCGTGCTCGGCTACCGGTCTCTTTTCCTTAAAACCAAAAAAGATCCTCACTGAAATAATTCCAAAATGAAATGATGTCCAAGGGTGGAAAACAACAGATGCTCAAGTGTGCAGACCAAAGCACAACTCACAGAAAACTTAGGTTTTGTTTTAGTTTCCTTCTTCTTGTGTGTGATATGTGATATTTACCCTTTGGATGATTTATTTTCGGTAATTAATTTTGTAGGCTACCTCTGAGGATAAGGTTAAGCTATGTGTTCTGAGATAACCCAACCTGTAATAACAGGACAGTTTTAATTTCCCCACAAGTTAAGTTATTAAGATTTCCACATGGAAATCCACATCTAAACATTTGCATCACTTCCCTGGTATTTACATATGTAACTTTGAGACAAACATGGAATTGTAGGTAGTTCTAGAATCACATACAACAAAATAACTGTGGCCAGGTATGAGCAGTGATATTATTGATTATTGACAACAACCCGTGTCCTTAATATGCAAGGAAATGAAAGACTTTTGCATGAGTATTTCATTGTGGGACTGCGAATATTGATACCATTGAATGTCACCTGTATGTGTGTTCTTTCCACAACTGCTTTCCTGAGGATGGTTTTTTGGAAGCTGAGACACAGTCAAGTATTTCACACACAACTTTCTAAATGTATGTCCCTTGACAAAAACATAAAGTAAGGGTCAGCCCTGCTGCTGGATGATGTCGATAGCTTACTTGGTGAGCTTTGCCTGCTTGGGACATTTTTGTGGCTCAAAAGCCCATTGTTCTCACAAGTGCAAAACCTGTTTGAGGGAAAGTGCCATTAATGGTTACTGGTATGTGGTGTTCTCTCTCATTGAAAAGTTCTTTGATTTAGAATAAAAAACAGTATCTATGTTTGTTTTTTGTTTTACGATTTTGAACTGAAATTACCTAATAAATTTGTGGTTAAGGTTTTATAAGAAAGCTATTCAAAGTTGGTTGGTTATGATGAAGTATTTATTTGATAATGGCTTTGAAATAAGTAGATTGTGTTTGTGAGTGGCAGCAAACAGAATTCTAATAATCAAGAAATTGTTACTTTTATGCCATATTAATTGTTAAATTGGGCCAGGGAATAACAGAATTGGTGCAGATAAAAATATTAAATCTTTAGCAGGAGACTAGTTAGAACTATTTGAACACTTGATAACGATCAGACCTAGGAATTAATTCATTGTGAGAGCTAACAAATTTATCAGCCATCTTTTAGAATCCAATTAAATGTTTTGTCTCTGTGACCATGAACCTGCCATTACTCCATCCTACTTGGTGTTGCCTTTATTACATATTGACACCCATGGGGAATAAACTACAACCATTGGAAGAGGGAAAAAGCACAAAATCTGTATTATAGACGACATGACATAGCCACAGTCTAGATTTCACCTTCTTCATTTCCTCTCTCCAACCTTGACTCAACGACATGAAGCAACAGATTCCGGGAATTCCTGGTCTCGCTTCAGCCCCACCCTCAATGTTCTTCTGACCCCCAGGGGTTCTCCCTATGTGCAATCACATTTACCTTGTTGCCATGGGATACATACATACCAACTTCCTCACAAAATAGTTGTTAAAGGTCATGGGCAATATCTAACCCATTATGTGGTGATGTTATTTAAAGACAATGCTGGCTGTACCATCTTTTACCTAGTTAGAAAAGTAATGCCACAGTACTATTAAGCAAAACAGGCTTTAGTGTTCTTGCTTCTTGCTACAGTGACCTGAAAAGCATAGAAAGACCAGAATTGCCCTGGTACATAAGCTAGCTAGGGAGCCCACTCTCTCTAAGGTGGGATGCCATGCTCAGCCTTAATGCATGGGAGAGGGGCCTGGCCCTGCCCGAGCCTATTGTGCCACACTTTGTTGACTCCTCATGGGAGTCTTTACCGGTGAGGAGGAGTGCAATGGGGTGGGCTCAGGGAGGAGGCCGGGGGGGTGTTGAGAGGAGTGGTGGGAGGGAGAACTGTGGTTGGAATGTAAAATGAAATTTAAAAGAATAAATAAATTATGAAAAAAAAAAAACAGACCAGAGTTGCAAGCCCTCTTCCTATGTTTCCACGCAGCTTTATGGTAAAAGCCAGAACACACACCTTGCTGTTCAGCAGAAGACCTAAGAGAGTTATGCGTCTTCCCCACCCCAAGCCGACTCACAGAACCATAGAGAGAAGCCAGCTCTGTGCATGGCAGTCGGGAGGCTCATTTTTCTAAGCCTGCATGTGGGATGAGGGTCTGAGCAATCTGAAAACCCGGAAGTCTTCATAACGATCACAAAGATCAAATGATCTCAAGATAAGTATGGGAAAGGGTCACATTTTGTTGTTTGTTGTTTTGTTTGAGGAGGTGCTGTTTAATTGCTAATCATCAGTGATCAATTACAAGCTGCCTCCTTTGTTACTTCCCTGATGGTTCTTCACTCACAGCAGCCAGGGCTACAGTGGCGTCAACTGGCCCAGGATATTGGCATCTTATTTAAAAGAAAAACAAACATTAAAAGGACTACTTGTAGTAAAAGCTTAGGGTGAATATAAACAACCCAGTGCTCTAATGATGCCGTATTCATGCCCTAGTCCTGAGGAAGAGGTGGACATCTGCCTGTCTTTTACTGGTGGGGAAATTAAAATTGTGTTATTGCACAAATCCCTACACCCTTATACTACCAAAATTTTAAATTGTGTTTGGAATGCTTTGTGAAAATGGACATTGTATTGGTAGCTGCTAGGATTTTGGAATCAAGAAGTTTAAGAGGTGAGTAAGGTTAGCATCATGATCAATGCAGAACAGGAACAGGAAAAGTTCAGCAAGATCAATGGCTTAAATGAAGACCAGAAAGCCCTGGAGGATATAATCTCCTTTGATGCTGATTCCCTGGAGACATGAATGAAGCAAAGCCATGTTGATTGCTCACTGATATAAGGGATTTGACCACCTTGGCAAAGTCTTGGGAGCATCTCAAAAAAGAGTACAAAAGAAAGACAAAGATCTTGATTAAAGTGAATCTCTCAATGTGGAAGGCTGTTTACAACTGGGCACGGTGTATCATTCAGTAGTTCAGAATTAGGAGACAGAGCAGGGAAAGGGTTTTGAAGGCAGCTGTGAAAAGCAAACCATCCTTAAATAATCTTTGTTCAATAGTTTATTGTTCCAGGAAAGGAGCTGTTTACCTTGATGTGGTCTGTTGAACAGCCTACTGTCTCAGTAAGTACAGAAAGTTCATGGCACACATAACCTCCATGGTAAGAATGCTCTGGAAAACCAGCCAGGTCGATGCAATTTTGAACACCAAGTGTATATCAACAGACAGTGCTATAGGCTTTAGTTCACCATTACTGACAGGAGACACAAGATCCCTCAGAAGTTAAAGAAAGGGAATTTAATCTCCTGTGATATCCGAGTTATATCCGTTATCCCAAGCATTCAGCCACGTTGTAAGTACAGCAGCAATTTCACAAATACTTAGGGGATGAATAAAGACATAAACATGCGATGAGACCTGACCCCCCAATACTTTCTAATTGAAACCCAAGAGACCAGGTATTTTAATGTCAGTATCACAATAACTTATTATCTTGTTGTAATATGTTTTATTGAGCAAATGGAAAATAGTCAAGGAGGAAGAAGGGAAAGGAAGGGTCTGCTTCTACGGCCTGGTGGAGCTGTGTAGGACAGAAAGTCCCGTGAGCAGTCAACCCCAGAGAGTGACTACCAGAGAAAGGTGGAAGGCTCTACGCAATGAAGGAGAGTTCACTCAAACTGAACCAGAGGGAGGTCTGGATCTGTCTGCCTGAGAGTCAAGAACAGCTGTCACATTTTTAGATCATCTTGAAGCAGAAGGCTGTGTTAGTTTCATTTGCAATTCCAGCTAAGTCTGTACTGAAAATATTCTGTTGGCATATTCAGTTCATTTATTTTTAATTAAAATTTTATTAAGATTATAAAAATTATGCTAAGATTAAAAGCAGATAGTTCAAATTACATATATGATGTGGCAACATTGAATACTCACCCACTCAGATAATTTGGGTAACTTTAGAGGGAATCGCAAAAAGATAGCGGTGGCTTCAAACTTTGTTCCAAATTCATGCTCCCACTAACTGCCCCTAAGCACTTCTCTCCAAGGCAGATGTTTCTTTCTGGGTTTCTAGATTGCTTCTAATTGAGTCCCCCAAATAAACAACACCTCATTGTGTGGAACAATAAGGATGCAAAGTGGACAATCACTTGCAGTAATTTCAAAAAATGCAGAACAGTGCCTTGCTCAACACAGCCCCTGGAACTCAAGGAATAAGCATCCATTGAACTGATAAAGAACTCAGTTCATAGGAAGATGTCCACAAAGTCTCCAGGTCCGACAAGAAGACAACCCTGTGCACCAGGGTAATGGGGCTCCAGGATCTTACAAGACTGACAGACTGTGGTACTGTGTAGCTATTTCCTCCCACTGAAATATTCCATCTTAAAGGAGGCTCATCAATACTCAAAAAGTAAATGAAGCTTACAAGGGTCAGGTCGAAAACAACTCACAAGTTTTAGGAAGTCTGGTAACCTTTGCAAAGCCCCTCTCCAAGGTTATATAAACAGTGATGATGGCTGTGTGAGCCTACTCCTACCACCCACACAGCCAGGCTGCCTGCTGCTTGCAATCCATATAGAGAGATGCAGAGATGGAGATTTTGTGAATGACAGATCATGCTGGCAGTATTCACAGTTTTGTGATGCTTCACCTTTGAGTGGACCACACTCCTGTAGGTAACCACAATAGAGTCACCAAGCTAGACTTGGGTATATAGTTCCTTTGGTCTATCATCAGTGCCCAACTGGGGCAAATAAATGCTTGCTCACATCTTTTTTTTGGGGGGGATATGACCTTTATTGAGCTTATCCACCAGAGTGGAAATAATGTCTGTACAAAGCCAAATGTTTGTTACTATAACTTCTGCATCACAATTAAAATCCAAACAGTTTTTTAAAAACAGTCAACTCAATCAAAACCCACTACTTCAGAATCAATAGCTTCTTTGAAGCCACAGTAACACTTAAATATGGTTAAGACTCGAATGCAGAAATTTGGTTGGCTGGAAGGCTAATTAAGCCTCCAACTTGCTCAAATAGAATTACAAAAAGGCAAAATTGTATTTTTCACAGAGATACAGTCCACTGGATTCACCAACACTGGACAGCTGTTAAGAATATTTAGAGTCCTAGCCGGGCTTTGGTGGCGCAGGCCTTTAATCCCAGCACTCGGGAGGCAGAGGCAGGTGGATCTCTGTGAGTTCGAGACCAGCCTGATCTACAAGAGCTAGATCCAGGATAGGATCCAAAGCCACAGAGAAACCCTGTCTCGAGAAGAGAAAAAAAACAAAAAAAAACCCCCTCGCAAAAAAAAAAAAAAAAAAAAAAAAAAAAAAAAAAAAAAAAAAAAAAAAGAATATTTAGAGTCCTGAGATAATAAGGAATCCAGGCATCCTTAGACAGTCTTCTGTTGTCCTTTCTTTCCAATCAGAGATTTGTGGATGTGTGGGATGACACCATCACCAGCAATTGTAGCCTTGATCAGAGAGTCCAATTCTTCATCCCCGCGAATAGCAAGGTGCAAGTGACGAGGGGTAATACGCTTTACCTTTAAGTCTTTTGATGCATTTCCTGCCAATTCTAGTACCTCTGCGGTGAGGTACTCCAGGATGGCTGCGCTATACACAGCGGCGGTCCTGCCCAAAAGGCCGTGGCTGGTTGTCTTAGATTTCAGGTGTCGATGAATACGGCCCATAGGGAACTGCAAGCTGGCTCTCTGCGAGCGGGAAACCGCCTTTGTCTTGGCCTTTCCGGAGTCCTTTCCAGCCTTACCGCCAGCCATCTTGGACCGTGCTGAAGATCGCACAAGCGAGCAAGAGACGAGGCCAGGCGGACGCACAGCGAGATCCCAGCGCCCACTCCTCCGTCGTACCGCGATTCAAATTGCCGCTTGCTCACATCTTAAGAGGAAAGTCATATAACAGGTGGGTAGATACAGGACATGCTGTAGAGAACTACCAAGAGCCCACAGTTCAACATAGAAAGACATTGCAGTTAGCAATCACTTTTAAGGGACTGAGATGTAGTACAATGACACAGAACGTGCCAAACATGTGTCAGGCTTTGGGTTCCATCCGGGGTATCACAAAAACACATTTTAAATTTGTGGTATAACTCACCTTTCAATAATCCATCGAGCTCAAAGCATGGGTTTATGAGGTGCAAAGGTTCAGATACCCATCCAAGGCCATTTTAGAGGAGCATGTGGTGGAGTGAGCACTGAAGTAATTCTGAATTCTATGGTTTTCCACAGCACTGAGTGATGATGTTAGGCAATTATTTACATATGTATGCATACATGCACGAAGGGGAGAGGTTCTGTGTACTTTTGCATCCAACATGTAAAATGTGTACCTTCTTATGCCATAGGTCAAGCATTACACTTGCATTATTTGATACCTCATTTACATAGTTTTAAAAATGTAACTCCACACATAATCCTCAAGTAGTAGATTTGTTGATCTGATCATTTAAAAAACTATGTTAGATTATTCTAGAGACTTCTTGAAATTAAAACTAAGTGCTGGCTGAAGATTTCTGTTGAGAAAATAAACCTAGAAGGAAACTCACATACTCTGTCTTCCTAAATGGCACCAAAAACAGGCAGTCTGAAAAATGGCAAATGCTTCAAAATTTGAGTTACAAATGCAAGGATCTATAAATGTTTGTGAAAAAACAATAGGAGCAACTGAAAAAGAATTATCTAAAACAATTTTTCTTATGAATTAAAAATAATTAATTTACTCCAGATTTTTTTTAACAGAGGTAATAATCTTCATTACCTCTGTGGTGGGAATGTCTTTATCATCAGAATTGATGTCTTTAGACAAATTTATATATCGATTCTCAAGTCTTAACACAGAGTCTTGGTGTATACTCTTGGATTTGGGTGCCCTGAGATCCAATTGGAGACCCCCTGAAGTGTCCAGCACAATCACTGTTTAGTCTTTATATCTAACTTGCTGGTCCCCCTAGAATTTTGTTGGGCTCTCTGGGTTTCATTACTACATCCCTTTTTACTACATTCTGTGTAAACTTTTCTACCTTTATCCTTTGAATGTCTGCAAAAAGAATTGGACTGGGCAGGCAGGTAATTCTTTAGTTCAGGGTCCCAAGGGAGTGGACCCAGAGATCAGAAGAGGAAATAGGAGATAGAGAAAATAAAGTTTGGGATCTGGAGGTCTTAAACAAGCTATGCCTTATGCTAAGAAACTTTATTAAGAAGTGCAGCATCTAATCTACAGTTCTCTGAAAGGAGAGATGGGACAATGTCAGAAAAAAAAAAAGACTACCATACAATAAGACAAAGTCAATGGGAGATCGAATCAAACAGCATTGTACAAGAAGAACATAGGATGCCTCAAGGGTGTTAGAAACTGAGCACACAGTGACCTTGGGACTGATGACTATAGTTCTTTGGGATGGGGAAGGTTGGGTTCTGAGGATCCAGTGCCACAGCTTCCTCAAGGCCCTGGCCCCAGGCCATTACTGGCTCTGACAAGCATGTTCCCATCTTTAGAGAAAGATCCGTGGCCCCCTGCTATACACCAGGACCTCAGGGAAACCCTCAGTTGAGAAAGCACTCCACAGAGAAACACTATCTGCACAGTAGCCAGATCAATACTGCTAACACAAACATCTTGACATGGCAGCTCCTTCGTGAAGACCCTTCAGAGCTCCTCTCACTGCATCCCACTCCCAGACAGTAGAGAGCCCTTGGTGCTATGAGAAGCTAACATCTTTGTCTCCTTCTGCTCTGCTTGTCTGTCAGGCCTCACCAGCCTACTGACCTCTTTCCCTCAGACACGGATATGCCCAGCGACTCCTCATCTCAGGACCTCTGCGCTTGCTCTTCTGCTTCCCCACAACTTCGAACCTCTGCTTCCCTCCCCACATTGAGAGCTTGAAGAGACATCACAGCCTCACATAGTGTCTCCTTGGACACCCTACATCCTCCCTTTCACACTGCCTCATTTTATTTTTTTCTTAGTTCTCACACATCCTGGTAATTCATTTAGTTATCTGTTCAACTGTACGTCGTGTGTTTCCTGACATGTGACAGTAAATGGTTTGAACACAGCAAGTCTCCTATTTCCAGTTATTACAACAGCACCACAAATATGGAAGGTTGTCCATGAATACATGATAAATGATTCACTTCCAAATATATTGGATGCCAGTATCAAGTTTTAAAGAATTCTTAATTAGGCAACTTGGAAGATGTAAAATACTACAACAACAACAACAACAACAACAACAAAGAGTTACCACTGTTTCTATTTCCGAGGATAAATACTATTAACATTACTATCTATTTTCTTCATACATTTTTCTATATAACAAGAGCACATGGCCCAAGGGTGTGGCATGCATACCTTCCCAGTAACTAGAAGCTCTCTAATTAGACTTAAGGTTCACTCAACTAGAGGGAAGTAATGAATGAAAACATAGCCAGCTACCCAGGGCTGATGAAGTCATAGATCTTGAAGGAGAACCTGCAACACCCCCTGTTATTGTTTTGTTTAAAAAGAAGAAAAGAGAAATTGCTGAGACAGACATATTGACTATAAGTTTATTATAAGGTCCATCAGAATGGGGATACTAAGAAGAGGAACAGGGTAAATGGCTGACCGCCATGGCCGGTCGCCATAGAGAGACAGAGCGGGGAAACAGAGATGGGAGAGCACACACAGAGAGAGAGAGAAACAGGGAGAGAGAGAGAGAGCGTAAAAGGGGCAGGAGCCTATCTTTTAAAGGGGTCCTCTGCACCTGCGTGCAGACTTCTTACCCATGGAACCTTGGGCTAACCAGGGTATTGCCTGAGTGGATTCCACCAGGTAACAGGGGCAGGCCAGCATAATGCCTGAACCTTTCACCCCCCCTTTACTAAACCAGCACAATCATTAATTACACTCTACGTATTTATCCTTATACCCACTGATAAGTGTAGTCCTCACTACTCTGCAACAGACAGGGACTGCTATAGAAACCACAACCAGTCAAAACTCAGAGTTGTGAAGCCTGGTACCAGCAGATATGTGTACAAAATCTTTCCTACACCTAAGGCTCAGGGATCACTGTGGAATAGGGGCAGTAAGACAGTAAGAACCAGAGCATCAGGGAGACTGTAGTGAGATTGTGTCTCCTAATAATGTCAGAGATGCTTCACCCGTGAAGTCTCACCAACATAGCTGCCTAAACATAAGCTCAACAAGAACAACAGACATGTCAGAGTGAACATGAAACACTCAGAGACATCAATACTCAATACTACACGAAGAAGCACGGGAGACTATGGAAAGATGGGAGTGAGAAAAAATAGTCCTCCCCAGGGCAGAGCACAGAAAATGACTATCCAATACCAAGTGGTCAGCCTTGAAGACATACATACATGTAACAGTATACAGACTGAGCAGGTTATATTTATAAATATAGAACAACGAAACCACAAACACACACACACACACACACACACACACACACACACACACACACACACACCACACACACGGATATGCACATATGCATTTAACACCAATTAATGAAAAACGAAGCCATGAATGTGAAAGAGAGCCATGAGGAATATATAGCAGGGCTTAGAGGAAGGAAAGAAAAGGTGGAAATGATATTGATACAATCTCAAAATAAAAGACATGATGTTTAAAAGATACGTGATATCTATCTATCTATCTATCTATCTATCTATCTATCTATCTATCTATCTATCTATCTATCTGATATTTATTACCCGGCTTTAAAAAGGGTTGTCCATGAATACATGGACAAGGGAAATCCAGCCACATGCAGCAAGTGAAATGAAGTTAGATGCTACTGTGTTAAATAAGCTAGTCATAGAAAGACAAATACAACAGAATTTGTAAGCAGCATTGAAAGTAGCCAAGCTGATAGAAATCAAGGAGGCAGGTTGAGGGGGTGAGGAGTAAGAAATGACAATGGGCATAAAGACTCAATCACCTAAGGAGATTAAAATACTTTAAAGACCCTGTATGCAACTCAGTGCTTACAGTTATCAGTGCCTCATCTGGACTCAGTTTCAGTGTGCAATCATATGCTCAAAAACTACCATAAAGGGTGGAGGGTGACTCAGTGAGTAAAGGTACTTGCTGCCTAAGAATCCATGTAAAGGGAGAAAGAAAGAACTGATCCTATAGTGTTGTCTGCAGGCTCCCAAATGCACTCTAACACACACACACACACGCACGCACGCACGCACGCATGCACGCACGCACGCACGCACGCACGCGCACACACACACAAATGACACACATACACACACACTAATAATAATAATGATAAAAACATCTCCTCAAGTGCTTCATCTTCTGTTTTGTCCTAGTTTATTTATTTATTTATTTTGGTTTTTCAAGACAGGGTTTCTCTGCGTAGTTTTGGAGCCTATCTTGGCACTAGCTCTGGAGACCAGGCTGGCCTAGAACTCACAGAGATCTGCCTGCCTCTGCCTCCTGAGTGCTGGGATTAAAGGTGAGCACCACCAACGCCCAGCTTGCTGACTCTTCTTAATGCCCCTTACCCCTCACTCCAGTCTTTATCTCTGCCCCCACATGACTTTTACTCGCATGTCATCCTCTCTGCGTATTTGTACATCCTCTGTAAAGATGGCCTTGTGAATTTACCCTAGTCTACTATGGCTCCTAATTATACTTTAAAAGACCCTAATTCCAAATACAGTTACATTCTTGAGATCTCAGTATCACTTAAATTCCTTTCAGGCTTTATGCTAAGGTCCAAGACTAGTCTAGAGCGTAGCTATGCATCAACCCTGCCGAACTCAGTCCTGCTGCCCCCATTCTCTGGGGGACAGTCCACCTACTCTGGCTCCAAGGACAGGCAGGTCCTTTGCCATA